CAGGGAACTACTTCACTGACTTCCGAGACCTGCTGCCAGGTAATAGCTAGAGACCAGCTTCCCAGCACCCTCCCAGGGCACATCCTACCCAGCTCCCCTGCCCGTAGGCTGTGGTTGCTCTGGGATAGATTTGATCAGCAGGCTAATGTTACGATTTTCCGGCAGGTGCCTGTGCACATGTTGAGCTCCCACCGTCTGTCCCAGCAGTGGAGGCTGTTCCCGACATCTCACTGATCACAGGGGAGATGCGTTCTACCCACCTCTGTGACCCCCCGACCTCCCAGCTGCCCCCCAACACTGCCCTGGCCTGCAGGGACCAGACACGAGCCCTCGCAGAGATCAGCCCTGCTGGTTTGTGTCTGTTTCATGGCGGGGCTGAGCCTTAGTGCAGGGGCAGTGCTGCCTCCCTGCTCCCAGTAACAATTCTTTTTCTCTCTCCTCCCAGCCTCCTTCCTGGAGTCCCGCAGCTGGCGAGGCCTGGAGCAGCAGCTGGGACAGACGCCTGTCTCCAAGGCTGTGCAGGGCCGACGAGGGATTGCCATTGCATATGAAGACGAAGGGTGTGAGCAGCCCTGATTTGGCAGCAGCATTGGCACCCAGCCAGGAGCAGGGCCATGTGGGGGCCCAGGCATTGCCTGTCACCAGTGGTTGGACCCGTAACAGTGTGGACCTGCCACCAGCTGGCCCTGTGCTCCATGTGGCCTTGGGTCAGGAGTACTGCAGTGGGAGAACAGAAGTTGCACATGTGTTTGGGAATGCCTGTGGCACCCTGAGGCTTGTGGTGAGGGCAGCAGCAGGGCCAGAAGAGTCAGACACTTGGCCCCAGACCTGTCCTTCGAGGGCTCCCCAGTCCAGGGCAGCTTTGGCCCTATATGGAAAGGTCACAACTTCGCACGAGCTGACAGTGCTGGGACTTGAGAATTTTGTGGGCTACTGTTGCTAACTAAAGCTGAAGAGGACTTGTGAGTAAATTGTTCTTTAGAATAAAATGGGCTGAGGAGCACAAACAGGTGATAGCAGCTGTCCCATTGTGAAAAAATTGTGGTACACACTCAGGGAGCACAGCCCTGTGCATCAGCTAAAACCAGCCTGAGAAAACAGAAAACCAGAACTGGGACCCCCTGGAATGAAAGCACAGAGGCAAAGAGGGGAGAGCTCTGAGCGTGAGCTGATGAATGGGAACAGGCTGCAGACATCCTGTGCTGCAGGGAAGACTCTCTGTTTGGCAGGGGTGGATTCCGGCTCCTCTTGTGTGGGGTGGGACTATTTCTGCTCCACGCTGGGCAGGAGAACATGATTAGCAGAATGGACTGTTTTTTGCCATACCTCCTGAAGTCAGGGAGGTGTTGAGGCATCCCACCCTTGATTTAACTCCCCCTCTGCTGGGCTCTTCCTCAGAGGCAAGAGGCCAGCAAAGTCCAGGCACTACAATAATGACAGCCACAACATAGAAATATTCTTAATATAATTAGGTGCAGGGCCTCCCCCCTCCCAAACACACGTACAAATGAGCAGGGGGCAATTCCCCCCACCCAGCCAGCCACTGCTGCAGGCACAGGGGCAGCCTCCCCACCCCAGGGCATGGGCACCCATGGGGAAGGGCTGGGGCAGGGCTGGTAGCCTGGGTGTGGGGCAGTCCTGCCCAGGCTTCCCCTGCCCCACCACCACCTCCTGCAGCTGGCACTCCTGTCCCCTGCGAGGAGGGAGCATGCTGGGGGGAAACAAAGATGCTGACACCGAGATGCGGCCACCAAATCTAGCGGAGGAGCGTCCCGAGTGGGTTAATTCTAGGTGGAGGGTTATTCTATGAGCCGTACTGCAGCAGGGCGGGGAAGATGAGGGGCTTCCTTGTGGGGAAGAGCTGATCCAGGCAAATTGTCCGCGGTCCTGGCCAGGTGCTCAGTAGTCTGCTGTGTACTCCGTACCATGCAGCCCTCGGCACAGCAAGGTGAACTCCTTTACCATCTCCTTCACTCGTCGCTTGTTCACACGCTCTCTGCTAAGACAGAAGGAGGGGACAAACATGAAGTAGAAGGGATGCACCAGGCCATGCAAGGAGGTCATTCCCACCACCAGCCGGGCACAGCCGCTGAGGCAAGGGGCACACAAACCTGAGGATCTGCTGGCTGAAGTTCTCCTTCTGCTCGGGAGTGACGCGGGCTGAGGGGAAGCCATCCTGCTGCATGGCCTCCTTGATCCAGATGCTCAGGAGGCTGAAGCAGTGCTTGTTCAAGGCAAAGAGGATTTCTGCGAAGTGATCCATGAGGCTGCGGGAAGCCTGGCCACCAACGCCCTGCCACAGAGCAAACAGGACATCCTGAGCCGCTGCTGTCACCCCGCCTGCTCCCACTCATGCTGCTGGGCTCTCTGCCCCTGGCTCCACAGGGGTACTGCTCAGGAATAGAGCCCAAAGCTGTTTGGGGAGCCCATGGTCTCTCACCTCCAGCACTGCCTGCAGCAGCACTTTGCCGTTCTCATGCACGACCTGTCCTACTGGGGCAATCTCTCCACAGCGGGGCAGCAACTCCGTCTGCAACAGAGTCCAGGCCCACTCAGTGCCAGTGCAGGCTCCATACTGCAGCATCCCTGCCCAACTTCAGCCCCTCTCCTGCTCTCCCAGCTCTCAGGGGAGACTGCACAATTCTGTGATACTCACAAAAAAGCCACAGGATGCTTTGACTGTTGGGGCCTCGGGAAACTTGAGCGAAAGGACACCTGCAAGCAAAAATCACTCAGGTTAGCAGCCAGAAAACTCCCTTGTGTTCCCAAATCAGCCCTGTGGTCCCCAGCCCTTAGCTGTTTTGCACCCAGCTCCACAGGAGGAGCAGGGTGACCTCTCCTCACAGTGATTTGGAGCACGTGCCCGTGGTACTCACCACACTGAAACACTGCTTTGACATCCAGGTTGCTACACAGGAAGAGGTCCGGCTTCCTTTTCAGAGCCTGCAAGGCACACAGACAGGTAGCATGAACCCAGCGCTGCAGAGGTAGGCAGGAAGCCTCTGAGGAACCCTGTGCCCCAGATATCCTCTGCCTGGAGACACACACTTACCTGGGCACACCCACAGCAAACGGCAGATTCACACAGTACAGCAGGAAACCATCACTTTACCCCCCACCCAAGAAAAGTAATTCAAACAGCCAGGCAGTTTGCTATGCTCAGAGTCTGCTGACCCCAGGACCTGAGGATAGGTGCCACAGTGGTGTGCACACAAACACTCGGACACAGAGGTGGAACAGAGGGCTCCTGTTCCACCAGAGCAGACCAGGCAATGGCACCGCTCCTGGGACAAGGGCAGCCATGTGTGGCTCGGCAGAGACAGCCACCTGTGTGCTGCCCTCCTCCCCTCCTGAAGATGCTGGCATCCCTGGAGTCAGCAACTGGTTCAAGCAATAACCCCAGACTGGACCAGATGACAATGAGATGCCAACATTCCTTGGCAGTTCCTGAGCAGCAAGTGAGAGAGATCAGAAAAATTTGGTTTTTTTTTTTCTTTTTGCCACACAGTGATTCCACCAGCCTCTGTGAGGGTCAGGCACTGCTGCTGGAGGCACCCTGAGCTGTGGCACCTTATGCAGTGACTTGGTCCCCCTGGTGCTGGCACTGGGCAGTTCCTGGGTAGAAATGTTTCAGCCTGTACCTTCCACTCCATGGGAAGGATTTCCAGTCGGCCTCAGTGAGCCTTGCTAGAGTAGGGCAGCCACATCCATGCCCTGACCACCGTGCCCACTGCTGCAGGAAAGCACTAGGGATAGCAGCCATACCTTCTGCCCCGCTGTCACTGCAACATCATGGACAGCACTGGAGCAGCCCCTGCCTGGAGCTCAGAGAGCAGGATATCAGGACAGGCAGCCCTTGGGCTGAGCTGTGTGTAGCCAGTCGCCCTCCAAATCTGCTCCCAGGGATGAAAGCAGGAACAGCTTTCACTCAGCAGCACCCAGGACACACATCCATCTGCCCCTGTGGTCTCTCCTTGGAGCAAAACATACTTATTTCTCACCCTTTCTTCTCCAGGGAAAGTCCACAGCCATCTGCCCAGTGCAGGTGCTGGAGACCAAGAAGCTAAGGAGCAGGTTTCAGGGTTACCCCATCTCCTTTCTGACCTTTTGTATCACTCACTGCAAGAGAGGACTCTGGTTTGGGCACTGAAGGCATTGCTGTACCAGACAGAGATAAGCACAATCACAGGGACCTGCTTCCCCCTTAAATGCAAGCAGAGAGTTTCATGGGAGCAATCAGGGCCCACATTATACCTGTGTATCCACAGGCTGTGCATCATCCTTCCTGAAGTGTTGGCACCAACATCAGAAGTTGAGCTAGTGGCTGGGCAATAGTTTAGAAACGCATCCACTCATCGTTTTACTATAAGGGTGGTGAGACACTGGAACAGGTTGCCAAGGGACGTGGTGACTGCCCCAACACTGGCAGTGTTCAAGGCCAGGCTTGATGAGGCCTTGAGCAACCTGATCTAGTGAGGAGGTGCCCCTGCCCAAGGCAGGGGGTGGTTGGGACTAGATGATTCCAACCCTTAAATTCTACAATTCTATGATCATGGCTGATGCTGTCCAGCTGGCCCCATACAGGACAGATGTATTTTTAGCCATGGAAGCCTGTGCCATGCTCCAGAGCAGTAATCACGAGTCTCTCCCCATGCAGTTTCTCCCCCAGCGGTGTGCTGCTTGAGGGCAGCTGACTCCAATGATACCACAGGTGCCTCTACCCTGCCCATCCACAGGGCTGGTTTTAACCCAAGTCCTGGGTGCTGTCAGTGTTTCATTGGCACGAGTCTTCCAGTGTGCTCAGGTTGCCACCTACCTGCAGAGTGCTTCTCCCAGCCAAACCAGACCTGCCACAGGCAGAGCCCCAAAAACTCTCCCGCAGACTTGCTGCAGCATCTGGTCCTCATGCCATCAGTGCCATGGGGAAAAGCATGCCATTAGTGGGAGGGCTCCTTGCTCTAGGACACCTTGTACAGACTGCAAGCCCAGTGTAAACCTGGGCATATGTGCACGTCTAATGCAGATTTTTCTTTTATCCCCACAAGATGGAGCCATGTGGAGTTTCTCCCATAAGAAAGCAGCACCAGAAACCCTGCTCCAGGGCTGGGCATCTTATTGCCAGCTCATCCTCCCTATCTCCTGCCAGAGCAGCTCCGCTCACATCCTCTGCATGACCAGCCACTGCAGAGATAGGCATTGGCTCTCCAGCAAGAACTGTTCTTTAGGCTGTCACAGAGAAGATGTTCGGTTCTTTTCCACAGCATCTAAGAGACCTCGAGAGGTCTTCAGACCAGGCTCTTCTGTAGCCAGCTCTTCATAGGCAGACAGTCGTGGAAGGGACACCAAACCCGACTCCTTCAGCAGACAGGGGACAGTGAGGGGCTGCACTGACACACCTGGCCAGAGCCTCCTGCTTTGAAAAGGGCAAGTGAGCTTGGTCAGGCAGGAGCAGTCAGCCCCAGCAAGGGGATGCTGAACCCATGTCCTTCATGGGGCTCTCTAAGTCTGGCTGGAGCAGGTGTGGTGGAGAGCTCAAGGCTGCAATGCAGCCTGGACCAGCCCAAGAAGGGAGAGAG